CCTGCTCCGGGGCCGAGGCTGCTCGGCGCTGCTCTTTCTGTAAAACAAGTTTCACCTTCCTGGTAAAATTTGTAAGTTTAATAAAAAGACAGTAGGCGACAGAAGTAAGGCGAAGGGTTAAAAACGGGCCGGGTGCTTCGCTTTCAGCCGAGAGCACAGTTATCTTTGGGGATACCCCTCTAACAGTTTTTTCATTATATCAGCTTGTTGCATGTTCATAGACCCTTATGCATATTGGTATTCTTCCATAAACTAGTTGACGCATTCCAGGACCTATTTTGCATGTGCTCTTGAGTTTGCATGTTTAGAGCATGCTTGTTCCTTCGCTGGGGTTTCGGTCTGTTCTTTTTATCACTTCCAATTTGGGCCTTGGTGCATACTTTCTTCAGATGGCATATGCGGATAGCTGGCATATCAATAGCAGGGGCCTCATTACATGTTCACTGGATGTTATCCCGACCAAACAGACAGTTCACTCATCACCATATCACCTACCACTACTACAATGTCTAAATTGTTAATAGCAGAAATAGAGGTAAAGTTATTTTAACATTACACAAATAGCATTCAGCTTAATATTTGCGAAAAGCCAACAATATAATATATAACATCTGTGTGCCAGGACCCGCTCGGTGTCCACAGCGGCCGTGCCGGCGCTCGGTGTGCCCGGGCTCCGAGGCGCCGGGGCAGGGAATGCGGGGCACAATGGTGAGCAGCCCAGGGCTGCTGCTTCTTGCCCCTCGGCAGGGCCGGGCTCCGAGCCGCAGCTGCCCCGGGCCAGCAGCAGGCGGCAGCTCGCAGGCGCTGTCAGCGCCCGGCCCGGCACGGAGCTGGGCTGCAGCGGCTGCAGAGCCACAGGGGCCGGGGCTGCGGGCACCGAGAGCTCCCGGAGGCTGCGCTTGTCTCCGCAGCTGCTGCCGCACCTCTGGGCAGCGGGGACAGCGCAGCCACAGCTGCCACCGCCCTCCTGAGCCCCCAGCGCCGGCACCAGCAGTGACCTCTCCCCGTGTCCCTTTCAGGGTGCCAGCAGCACGGCTGTGAAGCTGCTCCCGAGGCCGAGCTCCCAAAGGATCTGCAAGCAGCACTCCTGATGTGTCAGGAGCAAGGTGCTGATTGTTCCAGGCAGAGAGATGCTGCCTGTGAGCAGGAGGAGAGTGAACTCTGCTCCATTCGTGCAGTTGCAAATGAGCCCCAGCATCGCCAGCAGGGACCAGCAGCCGCGGTTCCACACCTGCCTGGGGCCCAAGAAGCCTCTTGGCATCAGCAGGGGGATGCCACTTGTGAGCATGCAGTGAGTGCAGATGTGGAGCATGGATTCTGCACCAGTGATGGGAGTGTGAGGGAGAGCCTGGCCCCCCAGGGCACATCAGCAACCAAGAATGAACACAAAAGGAACCTCAGAAGATTCCTGGGTGAGTGCAGGGCCACCCCTGTGGCCTCCAGGGTGGGGACAGTGTCCCCTCCCAAGGGCAGGGCTGGCAGGTGTGTGGCGGTTTCCCGATGTCTGGAAGAAGCCTGGTGCTCTGCTGGGCCCCATCAGTGGCTGGAAGCAAGAGCCCCAGCTGCCCCCAAGGCTGTGCAATTCTCCTGCTGGAGCCTGTGGCCACAGCTGTGTCCCTGGCTGTGGCCACAGCTGTGTCCCTGCCTGTGGCCAGGCTCTTGGCTCTCTGGCTGCCAGCTGAGTGAGGCCCACACTGGCTCAGGGCTCCCTGCTCTGCTCCCTGGCCATGGGCTGAGCAGATTGCAGGCCCGGCTCTGCTTCTGGCAGCCAGCAGCTCTTTCCTGCTCCAGGTGAATGGATCAGGGGCCATCCCGTGGGCACGGCGGTGCTGATTCTGCTGCTCCTGGTGCTGGTGCTGGCGTTGGGGGTGGCCCTGGCTGTGCTGGCAGGTAAGGGAGGGGCAGCAGCCTGGGCCCAGCCCCTCGGGGCAGAGCGGGCTCCCTGCTCCCTGCACAGGGCAATCCTCAGACCTTCTCCTCTTCCCCCTGCAGCACCACAGGTTCCAGTCACAGCTGCGACTCCGCTGTCGGTTCTGGGCTGTCCCTTTGACTGGGTTGGGTACATGGGGGTCTGCTACTACTTCTCCAGGGATTACAGCACCTGGGAGCAGGGTGAGGAACGGTGCTCCGAGCTCGGGGCCTCCCTGGCCATTGCCAAGGATGAGGAGGCCATGGTGAGTGAGGGGCTGCGGGCGGTGTGGGGTGGCTGAGGGCAGCCTGGGGGTGCTCCTGGGCCGGGCTCGGTGCTCGTAGGGCCGGGGCTGCAGCCCTGGGCCGGGGCCTTGCAGGGAAGGAGCCCCGGCGTGCGGGGGGAGCCCCGGGCCCGTGTCCCCCCAAGGGGCCGGGGCAGCTCCCACTCCTCTCTCCTGGGCAGGATTTGCTCTTCCGCCTCTGTGGGAACGTCGATTTCTGGCTCGGGCAGCACAGACGGGGCGAGCGCCTGCACTGGGGGGACGGCAGCAGCTACAGCTCCCGGTGAGTGCCGGGGAGCCGGGCAGGGCCTGGGGGCACAGGGGCACAAGGGCTGCCCCTGGCAGCCAGCGCTGCCTCTGCTCCTCCCTGCAGGGTTCCTGTCCTCGGCAATTCCCAGTGTGTGTACCTGGCTGAGAAGAGATTGAGGAGTGACAACTGCTCCAATGAGCGGCCGTATCTCTGCAGCAAGGCCCAAGCTCCCCTGTAACAGGGGCTGCAGAAAGGAGCTTCTCCACACTGGGCAGTGCCAGCTTCACCTCTGAGCCCAGCACAGCGCTGTCCTTCCTCAGCTGCACCCTGTGCCTTGCCCTTCCTCTCAGGGTCACCTCAGTGCCTCTTCATGCCCAGTGCCAACGCTGGGCTGGGGCTGCAAAGGAAAAGTCTCTGCAATCCATCCTGCCACCGCTGCTGCCTGCAGTGAGTGCATTGCCCTCATGACACAACAAGCTCCAATGTGAAATCGAAATCGCCATGGGCTCTGGAAAATCATCTTAATATGGCCAGAATGGGACACTTTTGGACTGTCCTTGGAAAAGGCAGAAGAACCGCTGACATGTGCTGAGGGGGAATCTCACTTTCGGCATCAGGCACCTGACTGTGGAGAAGGGTCTGATGTCTGTCTCTCTGTCTGTCTGCAGTGAAGGATCTGACTGTCCTCCTGTGGGAGGAATCCTAGGCTGGAGGGAGAAGCAGTGACATGACCTGACTGTAAACCCATTCCTCTGTGCCACTGTGTGGGGAGGAGAGAGGGAGGGAAATGGGGACAAAGTGAAGCCCAGGAAGGAGAGAACACTGGAGAAATGCATTTTTAGCTTTTGTTGTACATCTCATTCCCTTTGATTTGTTTGATAAAAAATTCAATTAAATATAATTTCCCCAGTCTAGGCCTGTTCTGCCCATGATGGGTGAGAGATCTCTGGCTGTCTTTCTTGAGGCCCCCAAGCCATTCCTGCTGTGTTCTGTTGCCTGCCCAGGGCCAGGAGCAGAGGCACTGAGCGCTTTTGCTGGCCCCAGGCACCTGGCCTGGCCCAGCCCAGCCCGAGAATCCCTGCCACCATTACCCGGCCCCACGGCGGCTCCGGCTCCGCGGGCTGGCGGCTCCAGGAGTTCAGAGAGGGCAAAATGGGAGCGAGGGACAGGAGGCAGCTGGTGCCAGTGGGTGAAATGGCTTTGCTGGAGCTGGCAGGGAGAGGAGGAGGAGGGAGAAAGTGGAGCAAAGTAAAGGTGGGAGAAAGAGGGACAAGGTGCTGGGGATGGCCATGGGGCAGGTGGGCATTTCGCTTTCCAGCTCTGTGCGAGGAAACCAAGCACTGTCAAATCCTACCAAGAAAAGAGGGAGAAATAGGAGGTGGTGGAAATCTCTGACAGTTGGGATTCATTTGATCTGCCTGAAGTGCAAAAGCCAACAGTCTCCAAGCACCACCAGTGCTGTGATGTGCCTGGCCCTGCCCCTCCCCTGGCTGCAGCAGCCGCCTGTTGGGACAGGCCCTGTTCTCTAAAAGAGCTGCACTCAGGGACCATTGGGGCAGTGCTGGGTAAGAAGTGAGGAATGGGAAAGGGTGGGAAGTGTGAAGGGAATGAAACAGAATGGTATAAAAACAAATGATAACAGAACTGCACCAGGAATGGCCACGGATCACTGTCACCAAAAGCTGCACTGAGGGACGGCCACCTCAGCTTAGGAGCTCTCCTCATGCACTAAGGGAGTCCTTCCATCTAATTTGACCTTTTCTATAGCACAGGCCACTCAGCAGTTAAATGTGATCATGTTCTTCAACTCAATCATTCTTTTTAAGTATCTAAACTTGATCTAGCTACTCATCAGTGGAGAATTTTATGAATTTTCAGAGTAAATTACCTTCCCTAGTCAAACACCAACCCCTCCCAAGGTTCAAGTACCTCTGTTTTCCACCACTAACTGCTCATTATCCTTGTCTCCATTAAAAAACCTCTGTAAACCCCATTTTTCCACCACAGATTTCTCTGAGTCTCTCACCTCTCAGCAGTCCAAATTCCTTGAAATTCAGCAGAACCTTCTTCACACTTGCCAGCTCTGTTATCCATCTCTAATCCCTGTCCAACCTGCCAGTGCTCTCCCTGAACTGCTGACAAAGTAAATTGCACATCATCAGTGGAGGACAACTCATTAATTGCTGAATGAAAAGGAAATAAAGAGAAATTAAGAAACTGATTTGGACCCAGCAGGACTGAACTGCTGGTGTCTGTGTATCAAGAATTTCTATGCATTTTATTTCAAATTTATCTTGTTGAAACTAAAGTTGTCATATTTAAAATAGATTTTTCATTCCACACGAAAGCAACATGCTGCATACCTTCCAACCACATTTTCACTGAAAAAAAACCCCAAAACTGCTCACCCTGGGCTCACATAAAGCTACTGCTGGCATGATGCCAACATTCAGCAATAATGGAATTCATTCAGAAAATGAACAATTACAAAAATACTTTCATTCTAAGAACTGCTACTGCACTGAGGAAGTTATAAACACCTTCCAAAAATTCAGTAATCAAGTTGTATTTCTGTTTTTATTGAAATAAAATTTAAAAATACTTCTGGCCAATATTTACACATTTAATCCAATTACTCTTCCTGCAATGTGGTATTTCCCCACCTCCCCCACAAGCAGCAGCATTTTCAGAACAAGAACTGCTCCCCAGATTTTGAACCCACTCAGCAATGGGTAAAAGGACATTTTAGAAATGTGGCAAATTGGATCACTGAATGGAAAAATGGAAGAGGGGTGTTGTAATAAAAGAAAACCTCATTTGAGTCATGCATTCAAAATAGTTTTTCAGTTTCTGAAAATGTGTCATCACTAAGAAAACCTCATTTCCATTCCAAGACAGTGTGCAAACAGAAGCTTTTGCATGTAAATTCCCCCTGCTGAAGTGACACATAATGAAGAGAATGCTCTAAATTGAAACCTTTGGGCTCTTCTTCCACATCCTGCTGTGTGTCTGTGCTTCACCTCCCCAGCAGCCACGTCTTGTCCAAAGCCTCTCCTGCCTTGCTCAGCTGCCAGTGAGCTCTGTGCTCTCAGGTAAATTCAGCCCCAGGCTCTGTAAAATGTTCGAGGTGGGTCCTGCCAGGCCAGCCTGGGCACTGTAGGACTCGAGCAGGTTTGCCACCAGGTTCATGTCCACATCCAGGGCTGCCAGCTCAGCAGCCTCAGCTCCATAACCAGGGCCAGCACTCTCACATGGGGCTGCTCCAACAGAACTTGCCTGCAGAGAGTACCAAGAGAAAGCTTTATCAAATTGCAGGAGCAGATTTCAGGGGGAAAAAAAGGGTAAATCACAGGAGAAAAGAAACAACAATTGTGCAGCCAACAAATCCAGTACACTCCTGAGTCCTGACAGGCAGGAATTCAGACAGCAAATGCTCATGCCAGCTGAAAATCACCACTGTCCATTACCCAGACTAGGTTCCAAGAGAAGGACACAAAGTGTTGCTGAGTCCTGCCTCAGCTTCCTCTGGGAGAAAACTACTACAGGAACTCAAAGTGAAGCTGCAGCTGCTTGCTCTACTACTAAAACCAGGGAAATGGAACTAAGCCTTGGAAAAGATGGGCAAATTCCAAGCTTAGGTAAGCTTTAGTTTATAAAAAACGTACGATGGTGCAGGTCCAGCACACTTGGCTTGCACGTGGGAAGGTTCCAATCCCATTGCTCAGAATGGCCACTTGCAGCCCATTCCCTGCTTGCACATTTCTGCTGCAGATCAGAGCTCAAGGCACACTCACCCCTCTCTTGTGGCTGCTGAAGCTTTTCCCAACGTTGGTCTGTGCCAGCTCACGGTCCATGTCCCTCATGTACGCCTTGAGACTGCCCACGAGCTCCTCAGGAGACACCTTCTGCTCCTGCCTTTCATTCCCAGCATCCAGCTCTTCATCATCCTCATCTGAGAAACCCAACTCCTCCTCCTCCTCCTCATCCAGATCATCAGAATCCAGCTCCTCCGAGTCTGCCCCTGGACATGATTTGGGGTCAGTACAAGAGCAAAGAAATCAGTGCTGGGATTTGTTTCAAATAAAGAAGCAATCTCACCTAAAATTCTCTCCAGGGCTTTTGTAAAAGAATCCACATCAAAGGTAACTTGGGACTCATCAGATGACCTGAAATATAAAAGGATTTTTAAGGAAATGAAGCTTCTATGCTTGCCTAAGCCTGACACAGGCACAAGCCGTATTGATTTCTCTCAAGCCAGGACTGAAGTTGGACATTTGAATTTAAAAGTCCTCAGAAGTTTGAAGCCTGTATGCATTAGACATCAAACAGTGAGTGGAAGAACTCTTGGCACAAAGGAGAAAAATTGTGAAGACCACAAAATCCAACTGAGGGACAGAGAGCAGCTCAGCTTGCAGCACTTGAAGCTGCACCAGTGCCAGAGTGGCACCAAGCTGATTTAAAGCAAGTACATGTTCAGTGCTCTGGCTTTGCTTCAGGCCCTGCTCAGCACAGCACCTTCAAACTCTGATTCTCTGCCTCACAGAAGCAGCCACAGGGCTGCAGCAGAGTGCAACATTCCACACCAGACCCAAACTGCAAGTGCCACTACCATGGCAGTTCTGCTCCTTCGTGCGTGGAGACTTTGGACACAAAAGCCTTCATGCTCTCAGCAACTGCTCCCAAGTCATAGCTTTGCTCTTCCTCATTTGTGGAAGGAAGGGACTCATTTCTTGTCTCCTTCAGCATCTGATCCAGAGCACCTGGTGTAATATCCAGCCAGCTGTCATCTGAAAGAACACAGCACAGATCTGTGACTCTGCACAAGCTGCTGGCCCACAGGCCCAACCCAGCTGACTGACAGGACTGCAGCCATCCTGCAGCTCAGTGCTGCACTTCAGCTTTTGTGCTGGTCCTGGGTCACACACAGCAAAGGCAGAGAGAGGCTGAGAGGAACTGAGTGGAGATTTCTTGTCACTACTTAAAAACTCTGCTTTGCAGAGCTCAAGCTAAGAGAGACCATTCTAGTCACTGAGAAGCCTTTGGCCACTAAGGGGAGGAAGAAAGGCTTACTCTGAACTGGGAGAGCCAATCCAGTGTTTAGTCTCAAGGAAGGCTGGATTTGCTCTCCCTTCCCAGCTGTCAGCATTGCCCCTCTCCCCCCACAAATAATCATCTGTAATAGGAATAATCCCCCCAGCCAGCTCACCATCCTCTGCAGGAAGACAAGCTGCTGCTCTCTCAAATTCCTTCAGATCAATGGGTGTTGTCTGTAGCAGTGTCAGGATTTCATCACCTGGGCTCACTTCATCACAGCTAGAAGAAAAGAAATCAATTTACTGAAATGGATTCAATGGGATCACATGCTCTACATTCAAGTTTTCACTCAAATTCTTCTTTTCTCCTTCTGTGCAAACACATCCAAAAGGGGAATGAATCTGGGCAAGTACCAGAGCACTACCCAGAGCATTGGCCAAAACAGGACACAGTCAGTCCCTGCAACTCCCAGCTGATGGCTCCAAAGCCCATTGGTCATGGCTCTTTTCCTTTACTTTTAATTTGCCTTGGCAAATATTAAGATTACCAGATCCCAAACAGCACAGACTGGAAACTCAAAAAACTAACAGTCAAGATATTATGGGCTGGCAAAGCCTCAGATATTTCTGCAGTGGTTTAGTTTTTGGATTTGATCTTCCAGAGAAATCCACAGCCAGACCCTTGAGCAAAGGAGACAGATGACCCTGTGTTCATTATTCACTGGGACTGCCTTTCAATGAAACTTTAAAGAGTTCAGGTGTTTGTAACAAGGATTTCAAAGGTCACTTACAGGATGTGTAGGGTCTATGACACTCATGAATTTCAAGCAGCTCTCACCTTTCTGGCACTGCAACACATTGCTGGAAGTGATCTTCTGCCATGTGCAACAGTTCCAGGTACTTGGCTGATCCTTCCATTTCTCCCTATGGAATGCAAGTCACAGGCATGAACCCAAACAATTCTCCCTCCCCTTCCTCTTCACAGCCAGGCTTCCTCAGGATGACTGTTGGTCACACAGAAATGCTGAGAGAACCAAAACAACTAAAACCTCTTGGCCATGCACACTTGGAACTCAATACAGCAAAGGGCCATTCCTGTATTTCAAGTATATTAAAGGATATTAACCTAAGAATCTCAAGAAAGTTGTCCAATTTTATTACCTTCAAGTAAGTACTCAATTTATGTCCCATTTATTAACTTCAGAGAAGTGGTCAAAGGCATCTTTTAAAAAAACCCCACAAACCTCACCAAAACCTCCAGAAATGACAAAAACACCACACACATAAAAATTACGCTTGCATGGGCCCAGATAGGTCTATGGTGTTATGTATGGATCTTGAAGAATATTGAATTCTAGAGGGGTGGAAATGAAATGCAAACCTGTGAAATCAGTTACACCTCACACAATCACATATGGTGGTTTTCCTCACTCAAGTGTAGTTCTCCCCTTGCTTTAGATGAATGAATCAATCCCCACATCTTGCTTTTTCCTTTTCAATTTCCAAAATAAATTACTTTCAAAGGGGAACAAACTGCACACGTCCCCTTTAAAGACATTCATTCATTTCACACAGAGATAAGCATTCAAGCTCTGGCCCCACTGCAACTCCTCACACAAGTTCAAGGGTTAAAATGTATTTTCCCTGGGATGTTTAAAGGCCACAGACACTGAAATAATCACAGACCTTGAAATAATCCTTCTCCTTCAAGCTCCTGAGGAATCTCTCCCACAGAGGACTGCTTAACACGTTTCTCTTGGCATCAGGAGCCACTTTACTGCTCTTGGAGCACAACATTTCAAAGCCATGAGCCTGCAGATAAAAGATGCAACAACAAGAGGTTCTCAAGGTGTGATAGACTTTGCTCACATTTTCCTGCACAAGCAGGCAACGTCCAGACAAGGACCCATTCCCTGGACATGCATGAAGCAAGTCCAAAATGCAGCAGAAATCATTACCAGCTTCATGCCCAGCTCGTAGGCTCTGTACTGAGGATGAGATGGGGCGGGCAGGGTGTACCCACTGCGTCTGTCGGGAACAAACTGCTGCTGCACCAGCTGTGCATACAGACACCGAGTGAAAGTCACCTGAAACAGGCAGAGCAGAAACAAACACTCCCTGCAGCGGGACTCTGCTGGGGACAGCCATCCAACTCCCTCCAGGCTTGCCAGAGTGGCTTTGAAGGCACCCCTAGTACAGGCAGTACCTGAGACTGCATTCAAAATATATCCTAGATAGATTTTTCTGAGAAATTGCTTTGCAGGCTTTACAAAGTTTGTCCCAAATTGAAATACCCAAGTAAATACGAACTTTTGTCAGTCTAAATACATAAGGAAAAATCCTCAGTATTTTGTATGCACATTTACTAGGTGTATTTTCAATTAAAATGAAACTTGATTAGAAGATTTCAGCAACAGTTTCCAAGTCCACAATTTGACTCTAAAGCTTATTTTCAGGAGTCCTGTGGTACAGCTCTGTAACAAAGTGAATCAGACACAACAGTGCTTGGACAGTGCTCATAAAACACTTCATAAAAGCTTTCCCAGAGCCCTGAGAGCACAGCTGAGAAGGTGAAAAGCCTGGGAGTGAACCACTGGTGAAGAGCAACTCCTCCCGTTGGCTGGCAGGGCTGTCAAACTGCTCTGATCACACAAGGAGATCAATTTACTCAGCAGGCACTTCAGCAGAGGAACTGTTATCACAACCTCTGGTTTCAGAAACAATTCTCTCATGAGCAGCCCCCTGAAAGTCCAGCCACATCGATCCAGAGCAGTTATTAATGGAATGACCTGGAAATTCATCCCTCTAACTCGTATTTTTCAGTTGAATCTCTGTGTTTCTACACTGGCCGCAGAACCCTTGTCATTTAAGGGAATGAAGTGACAAGGCTTGAGGAGAGCACTCACCACGGCCATCGCAGGCTTTAGAGGAGCACACAGCCCGGCCAGCAGGGGCTCTGAGAGCACTTACCAGGGCCATCACTCGCTGCTCGGCAGGGAAGGTTCTGAAAGGGCGCCGGCAGGCCGCCAGATCGCCCGGCTCCCGCAGGTAGAAGGCCTGGACGGCCGCAGCCACCAGGGACGGGCGCAGCCTCAGCACGGCCGCGATCCCGGCCGGGAGGAAGCAGCGGGCTCGGTGCAGCGAGGCCTGGATCTTCTCGGGATACCTGAACGGCAACAGAGCGAAGGGAGGGCACTGCGAGTTAACCACTCCTTCTTTAGCACGAGGCCCCTTTCCCTTCAGTATTTACTGGGATCGTGGGTCAGAAGATTATTCTGGAGTTAAAACTTGGCCAATCTAATGCCTACAATGGCTGTTTCTATCATACATACTTATATAAATGTACACGGCTCATAAAATTCAATCCCCCACGTGGGTAAGATGAGTCCCTGTGGACTTAACCAACAGACCCAGCTATCCAGTATTCTTTGCCATATTTGCTGTCAAATCCTTGCAAAAACTAAAGCACAGGGCTGAGCACAGCTGTGACAAGCTGAAGCCCTGGCAATTGTGCTGGTTCTACATTTTAGATCAAATCCTCTTTTTCCTCGTGCACAGGGCTCCTAAAAGATCACAGAACTTTCAGACTTTTCAGTCTAAGGAGGATGTGAAGGAAGAGTAACTTTTGTCATTGTCAGGGCTGGAGTTACAGCAGTGAAGCAGTTTGAGATCCCCAGACCAGAGCCTACAGGACACTGATCCCCCTCTTTCCAAGAAAAACCTCCAGTTGCTGGTTTCTGAAAAGGAACCAACTTGATCCCATCTGCTGGGGAAACGTTTAAAGCCCAGGGAGCCCAGAACCAAAGCCCAGAGCTGCAGAGGACCCAAACGCAGCCCCACGTACCCATGGATGCGTTTATTCAGCGCGGCTCTGATGGGCTCTGCAGCCAGGAGCTCCTCGGGGCGCGTGGATAACAGAGCCAGCGCCTGGGGCACCGTGGGACAGGGAGCAGAGAGGGCCCAGCCCTGCTCCCCAGGCTCCCCCGGAGGAATGATGTGCAGCTCTCCTTTGTAAAAGAACACCTGGCAGGCAGGAAGGCTCTCATCACACAGGGCAAGAGCACTCACACACACACACACAGCCATGGAACATTTCATTTCATACCCAAATGCATCGGGTTGAACACTGACAGTCTAAAGGACAAATAGAGAACCAATGCAGGAAGCAGCACAGCTTTTCTAAAAAGCTTATTTGAGATGCCAGAGACCATGACCCAACCAGGAAAAAATCCCTATTTTAACTGCAACAAATATCATCAAATACACCTTGTTTCCTTAACAACAATAATTGTTACACGTTTCTCTTCAACTAGAGAAGTATTTCAGGAGAACCAGGATAGCCTGACTGCTTCAGAGCACCACAGGCAGTAAAAAGCAGCAGCATTTCAGCTGCCACATGCGACCTCTGCTGGTTCCTGATCCTAAGAAAAGCCCTGAATGCAACGTTCTCAACTCCCTCACTCTGTCCCCTCGAACAAAAGGAAAGTATGAGCCTGACACTCCAGGTACACACTTGCAATCCATTTGGGTGTTGTGTTCCAGCCCTTTTAACAATCTTGGAGTAGGGGAAAAATAATTAAACAATTTTTTTGCTAATGACCAAATTAAGGATCTCCATTTTAATCCACTGCCATTAGCAACCATCCATATCCAGGTGCAGGTGTCTGCTCATGATTTCACCTGGACCAGACAAAGCCTGTGTCCTTACAGAGACAGCAACACTCCAGCCCTGAGCATTCCCTACTCTGAGGGCAGCAAATCCTCTGCCCTAAACACTCCACAACATGGTAGAAATAAAAAAATCCAAGTAGTTCTAGCAGAGCTGGAAAGTTCAGGTGGATTCAGGAGTGCTCCTGAAGGGAGCAACAGTCAGGGACAGACAGCACTCTGGATTTTCAGAGGCAGCCACACCACTTGGCTAGAAGTACAAGAGAAAACTCCAGCTGCTACATGAAAGGCCACTGGGTCCCCCTTGCCAACTGTACACAAGCTCTACTCACCCTGTTTTCACTGTTCTCAGGATTCAGCCACTTGGGCAGAAAATCAGCTGCTTCTATCAAGAGAAACTCTCCATCGTTGTCATCAATACTGGCCAAGGAGAAATTAGAAATTTAGCAGGAAAAGCCTTGCAGAGCACAACAACTCACTTCTGAATCCATGTCTGCTGGGATTTTTTTAAAATCTTCATAAACCCATAGAAAGGCTTAGGTTAGAAGGGACCTTAAAGATCAGTACCTGGTTCCAACACCCTGGCCACAGCCAGGCACACTTTCCACTAGCCCGGGCTGCTCCAAGCCCCATCCCACCTGCCCTTGGACACTTCCAAGGTGTATGGGATGGGGAAACACCTCCAAGGATGGGCAATGGTAAGACAGCACCTTCAGAGCACAGGCACTGCCCCTTTTGGCAGCCCTCGCACAAAAGCAGCTCAGCAGCACCCGCCTTACCTGGCTGCCAGCCCCGGGAACTCCCTGGTGATCTCCCGGAGCAGGTACACAATGAACCACTCATCCTCCACGTTATCCCCGAACACCGTGGTGCCGCCCAAGTGCGCCGGGATCTCGCCTGCACGGCGCAGAGAGAGGAGAGGCGGCTCAGCAACGCCATGCCAGGAACAGATTGTCCCCACAGGCTGCGGAGTCTCCCTCACTGCGGATATCCCAGACCCTGCTGGCAGAATCTTGTGTCCTGTGCTCGGCCATGGCCCTGCTGCTGCAGGGAGGGGGCACCAGATGCCTCACTGGGGTAACCTGTGCTGTGACACCGAGAGGCTGGGAAGCCGCCGGCTCCCCCTCACACACTCCCGGCTCCCCCTCACACGCTCCCGGTTCGAGCCCGCCGGGTCCCCCTCACACGCTCTCGGTCCCCCCTCACACGCTCCCGGTTCGAGCCCGCCGGGTCCCCCTCACACGCCGTCGGTTCCCGGCCGCCGGATCCCACTCACACGCCACAGTTCCCCCTCAGACGCTCCTGGTTTCAGGCCGCCGGGTGCCCCTCACACCCCCGCCCCCGAGTCCTCCTCACACGGCCCAGTTCCCCCTCACACGCTCCCGGTTCTCGGCCGCCGGGTGCCCCTCACACTCTCCCGGTCCCCACTCACACTCTCCCGGTTACTGGCCGCCGGATCCCCTTCAAATGATCCCCCGCCGGTTCCCTGTCACACGCCCTCGGGTCCCGGCCACCGGGTTCCCTTCACACTCTCCGGATTCCCGGCCGCCGGGTCCCCCTCACACGCTCTCGGGTCCCCTTGACACTCTCCCGGTTCCCCCTTATACTCTCCCGGCTCCCCCTCAAACGCTCCTGGTTCCCCCTCACACGCTCCCGGTTCCCGGCCGCCGTGTCCCCCTCCCAGTCCCCCCGCTCTGGGCGCTCCTCCCGCCGTGCCTCCCGGCCCGCTCCCGGCTCACCGCGGCCCGGCACGTAGCGCAGGCGGAACGGCTGCCGCTGCCACACGGAGGCGGCCAGGAGCGGGGCGAAGCGCACCAGGGCCAGCTCAGCGCCGGCCCCCGCAGCGCCTCCATCGCGCCGAGGCCCAAAGCGCTCCGGCCCCGTCCAAAACTCAGCAACACTCAACCCTGACAGAAATCCACCTCGACATAAATGAGTCTTAACAAAATCCAATAGAGTAAAAAACCACAAGATTATTCAGATCTCACTTTGCTTAATTCTTCCAACTAAAATAATATTCAAATAAAACATAACCGAACTAACAATCAAGATCCTTAAAAGTTCTGGGTCCTACAAAATGTAACTTATTCTGCTGCTATTAATACCAAAAGGCACTGAAAATGTGAATCAAGCATGGTTGAAATAACGGCCTGATGGATTTACTAGAGGGATTAGAAAAGTGTGACAAATATGCTGACCCTATGTAATTTAACATTGAGAAAAACTCATGGCAGCCACAAATTTTATGGAACCATAAAATTACTCAGACCTTTTAAAGTGCAATTGTACCGAAAGAAACAATAATGTAGAATTTGGCAAACTGTCCAGCAAACCGGGAGCTTCTCAAGATTGCATTTAGTGTAATAGCATATGGTAAATGTTATCAGCATTTCTGTTAAAGGAATTCGATTGTGTTATGCTGCACATAACAATAAGGCACTGGATTTGCCGCTTTGATCTCTCCAGTAACAATTCTCAGAGAAATCAGAGTTCACTCGAAACACAAGGTTAACTTTAAAGAAGCATTTCAGCCCATGTTTACGGCATTCTAGGACACGGTGCGTGAGGCTTCAGTAACCAGGGGCAGTCAGAGCCCTTGCGGCAAATGCCGGGGGTTCGCCCCGCCGCAGGGTTGGGGAGCCACGGGGGCGGGGACTGAGTTCTGCCGGGGCCAACGGAGGCGCCGTCACGCGGCTGGCAAAGCGGAGCCCCGGAAGCGGGAAAAGACCCGGCGGAGCCACGGGCAGCCGACGCGTCCGACTCTGTCCCGACACCCCCAGTGGTTTCCATTGCGTTCAGCAGAGAGAAAAAGATTTGAGTTCAGATCCCTCCCTCTGGGCTCCCCGAGGCGGCAGAACGGTGAAGGAGCCGATCCCGGCGAAGGCAGCGGGGAGTGCCGGGCAGAGAGGACCGCGGCGGGAGCGGGGAGCAAAACGACCGCACCGGGGCTGTGTTCCCGCCCGCTGATTGATCGATTCGGCCTTAAACCATTAAGCACTCCAAAAACGGGAATTTACAGCGGCAGCGGCGGCTCCACGTGTGTCAGCCTGGGACCGCAGCGGCGGCGGAGCCCGGAGGCGGCTCCAGCCCAGGTGGGAGCCGCGGTCGGTGCTGCCCCAGCTCGGGGCTCGCTGTGGGCGGAGGGGCCGCGCTGAGGGCCGGGGGGTTCTTGCGAGTTCCTGGTGGCGGCTTCCCCCGTGTCCCCCCTGCGCTGGGATCGCCGAGGGAGCGGCTGCCCGCGCTCTCCTCCTTGCCCGGATGGCCGGCATGGAGCCGGTGCCGCGGCAGCGCTGGCTCATCCCGGCTGCTCTCGGTGGCACGGAGGCGGCTGCTCCGTGCCCGGGGCCGTTCCCGCCCGTGCGGCACCGGGCTCGGGGCCGCTGCTCGGGGGGGAGGTGTCCGTGCCCGGCTCGGGGCTGGCACGGGATGAACTTGAACGGGCCTCAGAGCCCAAAGCGCTGCAGGCGCCGAGTGCGGGCACAAAGCGCCGCCTCCTGCCTGCTCCGGGGCCGAGGCTGCTCGGCGCTGCCCTCGGTACCGGGACCCGCTCCGTGTCCACAGGCAGGGAGCCGCAGCGGCCGTGCCGGCTCTTGGTGTGCCCGGGCTCCGAGGCGCCGGGGCAGGGAATGCGGGGCACAATGGTGAGCAGCCCGGGGCTGCTGCTTCTTGCCCCTCGGCAGGGCCGGGCTCCGAGCCGCAGCTGCCCCGGGCCAGCAGGAGGCGGCAGCTCGCAGGCGCTGTCAGCGCCCGGCCCGGCACGGAGCTGGGCTGCAGCGGCTGCAGAGCCACAGGGGCCGGGGCTGCGGGCACCGAGAGCTCCCGGAGGCTGCGCTTGTCTCCGCAGCTGCTGCCGCACCTCTGGGCAGCGGGGACAGCGCAGCCACAGCTGCCACCGCCCTCCTGAGCCCCCAGGGCCGGCACCAGCAGTGACCTCTCCCCGTGTCCCTTTCAGGGTGCCATCAGCGCGGCTGTGAAGCTGTGCCCGAGGCCGAGCTCCCAAAGGATCTGCCAGCAGCACTCCTGATGTGTCAGGAGCAAGGTGCTAATTGTTCCAGGCAGAGAGATGCTGGCTGTGAGCAGGAGGAGAGTGAACTCTGCTCCATTCGTGGAGTTGCGAATGAGCCCCAGCATCCCCAGCAGGGACCAGCAGCCGCGGTTCCACACCTGCCTGGGGCACAAGAAGCCTCTTGGCATCAGCAGGGGGATGCCACTTGTGAGCGTGCAGTGAGTGCAGATGTGGAGAATGGATTCTGCACCAGTGATGGGAGTGTGAGAGAGCCCCTGGCTCCCCAGGGCACATCAGCAACCAAGAATGAAGACAAAAGGAACCTCAGAAGATTCCTGGGTGAGTGCAGGGCCAGCCCTATGGCCTCTAGGCAGGGGACAGTGTCCCCTCCCAAGGGCAGGGCTGGCAGGTGTGTGGCTGTTTCCCGATGTCTGGAAGAGGCCTGGTGCTCTGCTGGGCCCCATCAGTGGCTGGAAGCAAGAGCCCCAGCTGCCCCCAAGGCTGTGCAGTTCTCCTGCTGCAGCCTGTGCCCACAGCTGTGTCCCTGGCTGTGCCCGCTGCTGTGTCCCTGGCTGTGGCCAGGCTCTTGGCTCTCTGGCTGCCAGCTGAGTGAGGCCCACACTGGCTCAGGGCTCCCTGCTCTGCTCCTGGCCATGGGCTGAGCAGATTGCAGGCCCGGCTCTGCTTCTGGCAGCCAGCAGCTCTTTCCTGCTCCAGGTCAATGGATCAGGGGCCATCCCGTGGGCACGGCGGTGCTGATTCTGCTGCTCCTGGTGCTGGTGCTGGCTTTGGGGGTGGCCTTGGCTGTGCTGGCAGGTAAGGGAGGGGCAGCAGGCTGGGCCCAGCCCCTCGGGGCAGAGCGGGCTCCCTGCTCCCTGCACAGGGCAATCCTCAGACCTTCTCCTCTTCCCCCTGCAGCACCACAGGTTCCAGTCACAGCTGCGACTCCGCTGTTGGTTCTGGGCTGTCCCTTTGACTGGGTTGGCTACAATGGGGTCTGCTACTACTTCTCCAGGGATTACAGCACCTGGGAGCAGGGTCAGGAACGGTGCTCCGAGCTCGGGGCCTCCCTGGCCATTGCCAAGGATGAGGAGGCCATGGTGAGTGAGGGGCTGCGGGCGGTGTGGGGTGCCTGAGGGCAGCCTGGGGGTGCTCCTGGGCCGGGCTCGGTGCTCGTAGGGCCGGGGCTGCAGCCCTGGGCCGGGGCCTTGCAGGGAAGGAGCCCCAGCGTGCGGGGGGAGCCCCGGGCCCGTGTCCCCCCGAGGGGCCGGGGCAGCTCCCACTCCTCCCCTCTCTCCTGGGCAGGATTTGCTCTTCCGCCTCCGCGGGAACGTCGATTTCTGGCTCGGGCAGCACAGACGGGGCGAGCGCCTGCACTGGGGGGACGGCAGCAGCTACAGCTCCCGGTGAGTGCCGGGGAGCCGGGCAGGGCCTGGGGGCGCAGGGGCACAAGGGCTGCCCCTGGCAGCCAGCGCTGCCTCTGCTCCTCCCTGCAGGGTTCCTGTCCTCGGCAATTCCCAGTGTGTGTACCTGGCTGACAAGAGATTGAGGAGTGACAACTGCTCCAATGAGCGGCCGTATCTCTGCAGCAAGGCCCCAGCTCCCCTGTAACAGGGGCTGCAGAAAGGAGCTTCTCCACACTGGGCAGTGCCAGCTTCACCTCTGAGCCCAGCACAGCGCTGTCCTTCCTCAGCTGCACCCTGTGCCTTGCCCTTCCTCTCAGGGTCACCTCAGTGCCTCTTCATGCCCAGTGCCATGGGCTGGGGCTGCAAAGGAAAAGTCTCTGCAATCCATCCTGCCACCGCTGCTGCCTGCAGTGAGTGCATTGCCCTCATTATATGCAGGAAACATGGCTCACTATTTGCACTTTTTATAAAAGTTTATTAAGGGTTAAAGTCCCGCCCTGGGATGCTTGTCTGCTTGCATAGGGTTAACTTAAACTATGTTTTCTATTTACTGTTACATATTAGAGCTACATGCATATTTATGCGAGCTTTTAAGAATTCAAAACTAACTTTCAATTTATATGCTGTTTTGGTTCTTTTTAACTTTTGACTTGTCTTCAGGCCATGTTGTACCTTAAACTAATATATTTAATTTTTTTCTTGTGGTTCCATCTTTTTGTATTTTCACTCCCTGATAACAAGGGTCCATAAAATCTTTTTATTTCCCATGCTCTGTTTCTGTTATCTTGTCTTTCTGATAAGCAAGTCCTTGAATGTGGGAAATCACCTAATTATTTGACACCATTTTCTGAGTTAGTTACATAAGAAAATCATTCCAACATTTCACAGTTTCTATTATGCTATGGTCTAAGATAGTGTCTATTACACCACTATTTATAAAAGGTACAGGGTGCATAGATAAACTGACAGATTATACTACATCTAAAGCAGTAATTGCAATTTGTACTGTATCAGGATTTTTGACATCAATAATAACTTGCAAAACAAAAGTTAGTACATAAATGCAGAAGCCAATACCTGTATTTGTTATTTATAACATTATACAACAAGCTCAAGTGGGAAATCCAAATCACCCTGGACTCCTGGAAATCATCACAAAATGGCGTGAAGGTGTGAATTTTGTACTGTCCTTGGAAGATGTGAGAAACAACCCTCACTTTTAAAATCTTAAAGGTTTTTTTAACCTTAAAAAAAATACAACAGACTAAATAAGGAAAAACTACAGCTCCGGGGGGTCTCGGGCACTAGCAGCCCTGTGCTCATTTACAAAATGGATGCTCTGCCTTTTATACCCTCAGCCCCTCCCAAAGTTTTGTCAGTCAGCTCCTTCTCTGCCCTCCCCAGGTGGAGATCACTTCCTTACACCTTGATTGGAGCTCAGGTGTTGTCCTGTGGCCCCTCCTGGTAATGAGCCGGCCCTCCCCAAATGCCCCGAGGCTGCTGGGGCTGCTGCAAGGGGGAGGGAAAGGGGACTGTGGGGGGAGATATTACAGGGACAGCACTCTACAGCTACAGAGCTTCTCCTAATGTACACACAATATCTGTCTCTCAGTTGTGAGAGCCAACCATCACATCATTCATCTAGAACAAACCCCTCTTTTCTTTTCCTATGAGTCACTTGTCCCAAACAATTAGCTCTAATTTTTGTTTCTGATAATCTACTCTTACTTCTCAAATAAATTTTTAATGAGTCATAGTAGCATCTGTTGATGTGGGTGAGGACAGTGGGAACAGAAGGAAAAAAATCTCAGGTTTTCTTTCAACACACTTATTTGGAATGGACAGAATGGGATCACTGAGCTCTTGTGTGGCTTTTTGAGCCCATCTACTGTGCCCATGGGGTTGCTACTCATAGCAGGTGTATCTTAGTGCTGAGTGCAGAGGCCAACTCAGTCTTGCCTTCTAGTCCCTGTTGTATTACAAGACAGCTGAGCAATGGCAGAGCTCTGGGGTGCCTTTCTTGCCCCCACCTTACCATGGATATGGGATTGCTGCCCACAGCAGGACTATGGAATCTTCTCCGTGGTGAACACAGGGGCCAACCTGGTCTTGCCCTCTATTTCTTGTTTCACTCTGCTTGTTGGTCCTTAAGGAAACTGCCCAATACTGCTGATTCTTCTCCTTACAAGAACAGAGTGTACACAGAGAGCCAGGGGCCACTCCAGCCAGCAGAGCTAGGTAGTGACACATAAACCAACACACATGTCTATATAAATATACATATATATATAGATATGGGTCTGTTTCTGTAGGTCGGAGAGCAGCTGAATGCACGGGGCCGTGTACCCAGAGCCATGTCCCTGGGCATGCCCCGCCATGAGTGCACACAGGCACATGTGCAGAGCCAGTGCTCACACACACACGTCCCTGCTCACCTGCACAGAGCTCCTGTGCCCCACGGCACCTGCCAGCAGCAGCCAGCCTGCCACAGCAGCACACCTGTGCTGCACAGACACTCACCTGTGCACAGTCCCCACCAATGCACACGGGCCCCAAGCAGGGCCCTGCTGGCACGTAGAGCCTGGGCACAGCAGCGTGTGCAGTGTCACCCACAGCAACACAGGCCTGTCCCACACAGAGCCGTGCTCACACCTGCACAACCTGTGCACACTCACAAGCACAGAGCTGTGCACAGCCCCACTCACAGCTGAGAGTGCAACGCACCCCCGTGCCCACAGCAGGGCACACAGCCCATGCCCAGGGCAGCACATCCCTGGGCACAGAGCTGGGCACAGCACACACACAGTGCCCATGGCAGAGCAGGACGTGTGCCCTCACCCCTGGGCACAGCACACACACACACAGTGCCCATGGCAGGGCAGGACGTGTGCCCTCACCCCTGGGCACAGCACACACACACACAGTGCCCATGGCAGGGCAGGACGTGTGCCCTCACCCCTGGGCACAGCACACACACACAGTGCCCATGGCAGAGCAGGACGTGTGCCCTCACCCCTGGGCACAGCACACACACACAGTGCCCATGGCAGGGCAGGATATGTGCCCTCACCCCTGGGCACAGCACACACACACACAGTGCCCATGGCAGGGCAGGACGTGTGCCCTCACCCCTGGGCACAGCAGCACACACAGTGCCCATGGCAGGGCAGGACGTGTGCCCTCACCCCTGGGCACAGCACACACACACACAGTGCCCATGGCAGGGCAGGACGTGTGCCCTCACCCCTGGGCACAGCACACACACACACACAGTGCCCATGGCAGGGCAGGACGTGTGCACTCACCCCTGGGCACAGCACACACACACACACAGTGCCCATGGCAGGGCAGGACGTGTGCCCTCACCCCTGGGCACAGCACACACACACACAGTGCCCATGGCAGGGCAGGACATGTGCCCTCACCCCTGGGCACAGCACACACACACACAGTGCCCATGGCAGGGCAGGACGTGTGCCCTCAGCCCTGGGCACAGCACACACGGGCACACAAGGCCGGGCACACTCTGGCACAGCTCTCCTGGCCCTGATGCCCCCAGGCTCTCTCCTCGTGGGACCGTGACACGGTGGGCACGGGGATGTTGTGGCACCGTTTAAAGAGCCCCCTCTGTGCCCTTGGGGTGGGGACACACAGGCCTGTCCTAAAGGAAAGGTCAGAGAGAGACCACGCTGGATTCTGCTGCTTGCCTCTCACCCTCCAAGGGCCAAACTGAGCCCGTTTTGCTGTCCTGTGTTGCCCAGAGCCTGAGTAGCTCGAGGGAGAGGACTGGGAAGGTTGATTGAGGGTCACTGCTGGTGCACAGCACTCGGGGCATTTTTCACCCCTGACATTACCATGGGCTGTTGGGGGAGGAACTCACAACAGCCTGAGCCCACTGCCTCAGGAGCTTGTGCTCTGTCAAGGGGCCCCTTTCGCTCCTTACCTGAGGAGGGGAACGTGTGGCTCTGGTGCTGGGGAGGGCAGCTCACGCTCCCCTGGGCATAGGGTAAGGAAAGCTCCAGGCCTCTCTGCAGGGGGGACAGGGACTTTGAAACCAAGGTGTTCGTCAAGATTTCATCTTGGACTGAAAGGAGGAAAGGTGTCTGTGTTATGCATGGAAATTTGAGTGGAAAACAACTGCAATTTCTAATAAAGAATTCTCATCAATGTAAGGTCTCCTGTTTTCTAAAGAAGTTTTGTTTCAGTCAGACAGAAAATCACTTTCTGATGTACAGCAGTCAGTGCTGACTTAAGGTACACTTTTACAAGGCATATATTTAGTTTTCTACAGCAGTGCTAGAGATTCTAGGAGCATCTGAATCCCTGCAGTGTAACAAAGCCTTTGAGACCCAGCTGTCAGAGGGCAGCCACGGGCAGGAAGGCAGCTGCACCTGGTTAGCAGGAGATTAAATTGGAACCATAAAGGCAAGTTCACTTTTTAGGCAGATAACGTCTCATCCTGTCGCCCCCTTGGTTTTCTGCTGGGTAAACATCATGACTGGAGCTACTGACAGTGCCACGGGAAGAGCTGGGAGCTCCTGGCCAAGGGTGGATTTGCTGCTTCTGACACTGCTAAACTATCCCATGGCTCCCCTGGGGTCCAGAAACTTCTGCTAGAAACTTTGTTAGAAAAACTACTGCCGTCTTTTCTAGGCATCTTTTCCTTTGGGATCCTCCTAACAGTTCTGAGTTAGCTCCCTGGCCTCACTGCATCCGTTTCTAAATTCAGCTCTTAGGTAGAAGGATCCTTCCAAGCCAAAAGGATTTCTGAAGCAGTCCTAACCTGCAGCACCTGGGTGCCTTCAGGCCATCCATCCAAAAGGAAAAGTGACTTCTGGACCCTGAGAGAGCCCAGTGATCTCTTGGCAGGAGAAATCAGGAATGGAGAAGGTGATTCCAGCTCTGCTGGTTGCTGTTCCTCCCCATTAGACAGGAGAGGATCAAGCACATTCCATCAGCCTTTGCTTCCTCAGGGCATGAAACCCTGAGGAGACAAGGCCACCTCAGGGCCATCAGATCCCACCAGGGAGAAGGAAATGCTAAAAACATCACCATGGTCTCAGCCAACAAAATGAGGAACTTTTCTTGTGGGTCCCCAACACCATTTCCAACAAAGCCCAGCTGGTTTTGAAAATCGCATTCACATTCAGGGGGCAAAACCAATAACGAATCACAGGCACCTGAGGTAAAATTAGGGACACATAAAAGAAATTTCTCTTTGTTTTTAACAGAGGCAGATTTTTCTCTTTTAAGCCCAAATCTTCTCTGACACACAGAAGAACATTAAATACAGAAACAGTTCCAACTTGAAACATTTGCTTTTTGGCAATTCTATTTGTACATGAAGCGTGGCTGTATGAACACTACTGAAGCCCACAAATACTGAGACTACTACTGCAAACTGCAGAAATTACTGACATTCTCTTCTACTGGCAGCAAGAGTAAACATGTCTAAAGGTTTCTTTGTATGGAGAGTAGTACAAGGAATGGTTTTGACATCAAAATCAACTGGAAAACAACGATTTCAGGAAAAGTGTTAAAGAAACCAACACTATTTCAGATATTTTCTCAGTCAATTTTTTAGGACGAGTCACACAAACTTAACTGCCTGAGGTAGTAAGAGAGAATTCAATTACACTGTAAGACTTGGCTTGTTCGGGGAAAGGAGGGAGCAGCAGAAGCTTAGCAAAGCTTTGCCAACTTTCAATCCTCCCAAAGAGAATAAAATAAAAGCGACTACAGTATTGACCTTCTAGTACTACTGACAGT